GCAATCTTTATAATACAGCCTCACCTCACTTAGTGACGTACTCGTTTACTGACGACTTGGACTTACGACAGGCTCTCTAACCAGTAAGCATACCTGAATAATGTATATTAGAACTGATTTCCTCTATTCTGTTTATTACAGTATAGAGTACATTACTGTATAAACATTTAAATATAGTATACTAAAAGTGTTATAAATTGTGCAAAGGTGACATTAAAACAATGTCAAAGATCATTAGCACCAACCCACTACCATTACCATATGCTCCTTGCTTAGCGACAAATTTGTTTACTGACGTGGTCTTAGGAACAGAACTCTGTCATTAAGTGAGGAGAGGCTGTTCTGTATTTTGCTACAGCAATTCTAATTGTTGATATGCAGTGCCACTTTATTCCCTTCCTATTTCTGTCACTGTATTAATTTAAACTTGACCTGACTCTTCAGATTTGACGATGTCTTGGTTATTGTAATATCCAGGTTTTGTACATACATTTAAGTCTTAGTTTGTATACAGTATTTTATTTCTTGTGTAATGTGATTTAGCTGTTTGTAATAACAGAACCTCAAAAAAAAATTCCCCTGCAGGTCTTTTGTCCCCTGTTTTTAATCAACTTCCTTGCTTTTTTTTTTTGTGCAATTGTTACAGTATTTTATTTATCTGAAGTGAAAAATTTATCTTGCCTTAACAATTAAAATAAAAATACTGAAATAATAAATGGTTCATGAGATGCATTAAATTGTAATTCTCTTTACTTTGTATAATTGTTTTATTAGGTTTTTCAGTGTCAGTTTCACTACTGCCAATATCCTCGACTCACAACATTACAGAACTATATATTTATTTATGTTATGTTTTTAGTACTGTACTGTATTAAGCAGTTTCACTTGTAGTCTAAGATCTCCAAAATGTGCTATATGCTGTTGACTCTTCAAAATATTTTATGTATTATTTGTATGTAACGTATGTTTTTTTGAAAATAAACTTTTGAATTTTGAATTTAGGTGTTTGTAGTTTTACATCCCTTTCCAATACACACCAGTGTAGCTTTTATCAATCTAAAGCCAGATATAATGTAGTTGGCTGATGATGCCATCTCTTCATTACAGAGAGATTTACTGTCATCCCAGACATAGTCTGTGTTATCCTTGCTATTGAATTTATTCCATTTGTCAGTGCTTTTTCATTGTAGTACAGTGGACCCCCGGTTTACGATATTATTTCATTCCATAAGTATGTTCAGGTGCCAGTACTGACCGAATTTGTTTCCATAAGGAATATTGTGCATTAGATTAGTCCATTTCAGACCCCCAAACATACACATACAAACGCACTTCCATAAATACACTTACATAATTGGTCGCATTGGGAGCTGATCGTAAACCGGGGGTCCACTCTACTTGTCTAGCTAGTAATTTATACCATTTGCCCTAGACATCCATTCACCACTCATTGCTTTTTTGGCAGACTGTTCAATAAGATTGTGATCCTTCTCCCTGAAATAATTAGCTCAATATCTGTCATATACTAGTAAGCTATTCCCCACTCCTTCATGTTCAGTTCTTCCACAGAATTTATCAGGTCTGTTAGTGAATGTTAAAAACTTAACATGCCCATCTGTCAGTGGTATGTCATATCAGTGGTATGTCATATCAGTGGTATGTCATATCAGTGGTATGTCGTATCAGTGGTATGTCATATCAGTGGTATGTCATATCAGTGGTATGTTAAGTAGGATTTCATTACCTAGTGTCACATCATATTCATTATAGGTCAACAATACTGACCTGTGGAAGTTCATTCCCTGGCACCACCCGCTGGCATGGGGCAGTTACAATGTAGGTATCACTGAGACGGGACATCTGGCAGATGACACACCATTTCAAGTGACTGTAACACTTAACAGACAATTCTGTCTGTTAAATGTTAGTCACTTGTGGATTTAGTCCCATATTTTCAAATTCCATTAAACTGAGGTTTGTTAAATCAAGGATGAACTGTACAAGTATTTGAAATGAATATGTAGTTGTGTAGAGAATATTTTGCTAAAATTTTGGTATACTGTACAGTGGACCCCCGGTTTACGATCAGCTCCCAATGCGACCAATTATGTAAGTGTATTTATGGAAGTGCGTTTGTATGTGTATGTTTGGGGGTCTGAAATGGACTAATCTACTTCACAATATTCCTTATGGGAACAAATTCGGTCAGTACTGGCACCTGAACATACTTCTGGAATGAAAAAATATCGTTAACCGGGGGTCCACTGTACTTTGTGGAGAACAGAAATAGAAACCTCTTAATAAAAATTATTTCTAAATAAATTTTACATCAGATTTGGGTTCACGCTGTGTTTCAGAGAGCATAACTCTGTATATCACACTTTTGTGATTAATACGATATTGAAAATTCAAAAGAAATATTGATCAGATTAAGAGAGATTTAAGTGTGAGAAAGCCATTGAGCACAAAAAAAAAAAAAATGGATAATATAATCTTTTCGCAAGTTGCCTATCAGCAAAAACAGGAAATTTATACATGTCAAAAATATACAATTTGTTGTTTAAACCATCTTTTACAATGTTTTATTGAGGTTGCTAACACAAATTTTTACTTTACAATAACATAAAACTGATAATTGAGGGGCCAGAGTTTAAACTAAATGGACAAGTCGGTTTCTTAATTTAATTGTGATACATTTTAGCAAGCAAGTCAAATAGGCAACTAAAGATGTTGAAAGTATCAGGGGATATAGATAGTGTTGGAATGGTGGTGTGTTTGATACATACATGAAAGAAGGGAAGGTACCAAAGGATTGGCATATAGCGTGCATAGTTCCCTTGTATAAGAAGACAAGGGAACGAGAATAAGTAAGAATTATATAGGGATAAGCCTGTTGAATATACTAGAAGAAATTTTTGGTAGAATTATTATTGAAAGGGTTAGGATTAAGACAGTAGGATTGCAGAAGAGCAGGGAGGATTTAGGAAGGATAAGGGATGTGTACATGAAGTGTTTAAATTGAAACATACAATTGAGCAGTATTGAGATAAGGATAAAGAATTGTTTGTTACATTAATGGATTTAGGCATATGATGGGGTGGATAGGGGAGCCATGTGGCAGATGTTGCAAGCGTATGAAATATGAGGTAGGTTACTAAAAGCAGTTAAGAATATTTATGCAGAGAGAAATGCTTAGGTTAGGGTATGGAGGGAGGCGTAATATTTCCCAGTGAAAGTAGGACCTGGGGATGTGTAGTGAATGCTAGTGTATGGGAAAAAGATGTGGGAATGAGAGAGACTGTATCCATTACAAGGTGGAAGTTATCACAGTTACTCTTTTATGATGACACTTTTGGGGGATTCTGAAGATAAGTTGCAAAGATTGATGGATGAATTACGAAAGGTATGTACATAAATGAAGGAAATTATAAGTGAGCATAGAAAAGATCAACGTCAGGAGGGTAATGAAAAATCTAGGCAGCGACAGATTGAATAGCAGATTGAAGGGAGTGTGGAGGAGGTAGGATGTGTTTATATATTTTGGAGTGGATATGTCAGCAAATGGGTTTGTGAAAGACAAGGTGAGCCATAGAATAGATGAGGGGAAAAAGTTAGATGGTGTGTTGAGGCATTGGTGGAAAGAAAGTTTATATATGGAGGCAAAAAAGGGAATATACTACAGTATAGTGGTACCTACACTTTTATATGAATTTGAAGTATAGATTTTGAATGCTGCAGAGAGAAGGATGCTAGAGGCATGTCTATCTAGCATTTGTTTCAGGTGGAAGTCTTGTTTCCTACAGAGAAGGATGCTAGAGGCATGTCTATCTAGCATTTGTTTCAAGTGAAAGTCTTGTTTCCTACTAAATGCCTCTACCTTGTTCTGTCAGTATTTCTCATCGATTTCCTTTGTTTTAATATTCATATCTATACAGTGTACATGTATAGTAATACAGAATTATACTACACTTAACATTATCATCACTTCTACTGCCTCTCCTGCCATTTCCCACCAACACCATATCTGCTTCCCTCCTCCTTTTCCTACTTTCATGGGATGTAGTCATTTGTTGAAGATAACAGAATAATACAGGAAAAGATGGTTAAAGATATTTAAAGTATCGTCTGTTCTTATTAACACATTGCTTTTTCCACTGTATGTTCATGAAGAATTAGCTGATCATTAATAGAAGTACTGTATCTTAGCAGCTTATTTACAGTGAAGTAATCTCTCAGTTGTCATAGACAAATACTAATCATTTATTGTTTACTAACAAACTAAAATTCACTGGCCTCTTATTATTTCTTGTGCTTTGCTCACATTTACACTGTACTGTATCATGTTACATCTCACTCAGTTGGTGTGGGCAAACTTACATTCTTCCTGCAGATTAATAATAATAATAATAATAATAATATTATCTTTATTTCTATAAGTACATGTACAAGGTATACAGGCCTAGCTGACATCAGTGATATACTACCATATAAAAAGCTGCTAGTTATGCAGAGCATTTTGGGCAAATTAGGTCAATTTAGTCCCAGGATCCGACCCACACCAGTCGACTAACACCCAGGTACTCATTTTATAGTGATGGTTAAACATGGACAGCAGGTGTCTTATGGACACACGTCTTAATGTTATCAAGCCGTACAGGGATTTGAACTCCGGACCTCAGTGTGTGAGCTGAGTGCGCTAGTGATGGAGCTACGGAACACCAGTAAACTTTTTTCACCACTTCAATCATTGCTATTCATTCATCATGGTCTTAGCAATGTGCACATCTATCTTTCAAAATGCAGATTTTGACATTATCATTCCTCATTCTCTTTCTCTGATAATATATACAAATTAAAGAGAACATAGCATTTGACCTATACACCTTGTATGTGTTTACATTACAGAGTGACGACATCTCTTCAGAGACTACTACTACCTCCTTCACCAAAATGCCTATAGTAAAAAAAGTACCAGACTGGTGAGGAGGATATATCCAAATTTGACCCCTGACTGCTGGTTGACTGTGTTGCTCAGACTTTCACTCTAATTCTCTTAACTGTCATGTATTTTGCTTGTGTAATTATCTACAGACTAACTCGCCTAACTCACAAAATTGTAATAACACGATTACAAACAAACCATGGTACAGGTGGGGTTAGAACCCATGGCAAGCAAGTATGTGAGTGTGTAAGCCACTGGGCCAGATGGCTACAATAGGATTCATCCAATTAGGTATATTTATACATCATAGGGAGGTTATCATGGGCCCTGAGGCCCATGCTAACCTCTCTAACCCCACCGATACCATGCTTTATATACAGACTAGTTCACAATATTTGTGAGTGATGTGATAATATAACACCATGCTCAATTGTGTATATACCATGTGGACTGGTTGATAATAATTTGGATACTCATACTGTATTAAATAAAATTATTTTATGGTTTTCTTGTATCTTTTAATGTTTGAAAAGTTTTGTGTTTGTTACTGGAGGCGTAAAGAAACAGGTGACCTGTTGGCATGCACTTCGTGTGATGTTGATCTTCCTGTGTTTTGATTCCATTTTCCTAGCCAGCATATAAATTTAATGTTACTACATGTTTATGTTAACAGTTATTTCAATATTTCATCTGGTGTTGAGTTGTACACATTTCCTAATACACTAAGTAATTTTCAAATGCAATAATCATAATTATTTGTGCTTATGAATGGGTGGTAATGTAAGAGTTATTATAACAATAATAATGATAATACTGTATACAATAGTTTTTTGCAAAGGTTTTTGTTGTAAAGAATTATTATTTCCAAATTTAATAATTACATAAGGCATTGTGTAGAATGAAAGAGGTAGAACAACTGGGACAGATGAGATTAAGACTGAAATGCTAGAAGCACATGAGAATATAGTTTTGGAGTGGATGGTGTATTTGTTCAGTATACTATATGCATGAAGGAAGGGAAGGTGCTTACAGAGAGGCAAAGAGCATGTTTAGTTCCTTTATATCAGGGAAAAGAGAGAGAGAGAATGAGTGAATATCATAGGGAATAAGCCTGTTGAGTATACTGGGTAAAATATGTGAAAAAATTATTGTTGAAAGAATTAGAGGTTAGACAAAGTAGGATTGTGGAGAAATAAGGAGGATTTAGGAAGGGTAGAGGATGTGTCAACCAAGTATTTACATTACTTGGACAAGGGTAAAGAACTGTATGCCCCATTTATGTACGTACAGCCTCTCCTCACTTGGTGACATACTCCTTTACCGACGACTCAGACTTACGACGGGCTCTTTGACCAGTATATTTATACCTAATTAATGTATGTTAGAGCTGATTTCCTCTATTCTGTTTATTATAATATACAATACACTACTGTATAAACATTTAAAAATACATACCAGAAATGCTATAAATGCTGCAATGGTGACATTAAAACAATATCAAAGATGGTTGACACAAACCCACTACCCTTATGTATGCTCCTCACATACAGACAAATTTGTTTACCGACGAGGTCTTAGGAACGAAACACTGTTGTTAAGTGAGGAGAGGTTGTATTCAGAAAACTCATGTGATAGGGTGGATTTGGGAAGCAGTGTGGCATATATATGTAATAGGTAGTAAGTTACTAAAATCAGTACAGTAAAGAGTTTTAAGAAGAAAGTGAGGTTCATATTAGGGTATGTAGGAGAAGAGACTGTTTTCTCGTAAGAATAGGCCTTACAGATGTGTGATGTCATCATGGTTATTTAACCCTTTCAGGGTCCAGAGGCCAAATTTCAAAGTGCACACCAGGGTCCAAGAATTTTCAAAAAAAAATTTTGTTATTTTTTCTTATGAAATGGTAGAGAATCTTTTTTTGAAGGTAATAAAACAAAAGTACAAAATTTGATGGAAAATTTATGAAATTATGCTCTCGCAAATTTTGACGTGTCAGCGATATTTACGAATCGGCGATTTTGCCGACTTTGACTCCCATTTTAGGCCAATTACATTATTCCACTCGACCAAATTCTTAGCTATTTCACTAGTATTACTTCTATCGATTGAGCACAAGAAATCGCCAAGTCAACTGTTTCAACTACAAAATAAAGTGATCGGAATTTGGTAATTTGGCCAATTTAACACAAAGTTCAAAATATTCCAATTTCAAAATAGGGTTCAGAATAAACAATGTAGGTATTCCTGGCACTAAACTAACATTTCCTCTGTTCATTAGTTATGTTTTGAGGCTTTACAAATGAATTTCATTTTGATTTTTTTATTCACATAATGAATTTTTATTCAATCAAAAAATAGAACATTTACTGTTATGCAATATTGTAATTGTATAAATATCATCACCACATTTGTGAATGTTTATTAGACCCACCAGCTGGCGTGTATTAGACGTGTGAGGTCGTTTGTTTACTCTTGAACATCGGCAAAAATTTAACATTTCCACTACTTTGAGCTCAGTTTCAAGCCATTTCCAGTGCTAAAACCAATCAAAATCATCTCTATTTCTGTAATATGTCTTCCATTCTATCAAATGAGACCAAGAAATTGCAAATACAACTATAAAAAACATACGAAAAAACACTGCAAAGTCGCTGTTTTAATCGAAAATCACGGTTTCCGTTTTTTTTCTCATTATACACTGTGTGCTGCAGGATTTGTTTTATGTGGTGCACACATACCACATAGATGTATTCTCTCATATCTAGGCCCAAATTTACCACTCACAGTTTATCAGAGTGAGCTGAGCTTGTGGTGTAGATCTACGGTTTGGACCCTGAGCGTAAAGCTGTAGATCTACTGCACGGACTCTGAAAGGGTTAATGTACAGTTCCTGTTTAGGAATGGGGTTGTAAATGCTATGGCATTGGGAGAGGTGTGTAATTAAACGAAGAATCTGCTACAAAGGAGTTGTCACATACGTATTCTCTTTGCTGGCGACAGTTCTTTTGGTAGTATCCAACGAGAGGTCATAAGGGCTAGAAGGTAGGTGAAGTGTTGAGGCATCTGTGGAGAGAGAAGTTTATCTATGAAGGCAAAAAGAATAGTGTACCAGAAAATAAAAGTAACAACCTCATTCATTTGGGTGTGAGGAATGGACTTTAACAATTGGAGTGAGGAAGAAGCTGTAGGTAGTGGTGATGTCATATTTGAGTGCAATGTGTGGTGTGAACATATGTAAAGAATTTGGAGCATAAAAGTTAGAGGGCAGTGTGAGGGCTTTGAAAGATATTATTCAGAGGGCAGTGGAGGATTTTTTAAGTGATTTAGATACTCAGAGAGGATGAAGCAAAATAGAATATTTAATAAAATGTAAAAATAAAAAATGGAAGGAAGAAGCACTTGGGGATTTTTCTGCATGAACAGTTGGAGAGAGGGTATGAAGGAGATTTAAAGTGGTAAGGGATTAAACATCTAGTAGTGGGATTAAACATCTAGTAGGTGTGTTAGATCAGAGTAAGTGTAGACAGCTGGTTCTAGGGATTTGATGTGCTGATTGGAGTGCGTGAGCTAAATAACGTTTATGAAGGGATTTAGGGAAACTGGTTAGCTGGACTCGAGTCCTGGAGTTGGGCAATGTTGTACAGTACCTGCACTCGAAAGGAGGGTTGGGGATGTTGTAGTTTATTGGATCATTTGAATTGTGATGTCTGTGCACTTTGGCAAGGCAGCTGCTGAATGAATGATAGTGAATGTTTTTTTATTTTTTTTTGCCTTGGCAGAAGACATCAGTAGAAAAAAATCATTAATTAAAAGTATGGATCCTCTTTTTCAGCTACCCTACCTCTAGATATAGTATAAATTGCTGATTATAAATGTTTTCCTAGTGTCCATACTTCTTGAGATATGCAAGTCTAGTTCAACTATGTACATACATGTTCCTTCTTGTCAGTGGTGGTAAGAAATCTTGTTTGTTAACTTTCTTGTATACATATATAATCTCACATGTGACTTATCACATCTCTTTTTTAACTCCTGTTGGCCAAAGATGGGATATCTCGTGCCTTCGGCTGCCTTTCTTTGTAATTCTTAATTATTTTGTGTTCCAGAATACTGCATTTGTGTGGAATTTGTCCTTACAGATGGGTTTATGAGTGTGTTATCCTTACAATTCAAATGGCTTACTTGGAAGATGTATCTGTGATCCATTCTGACTCTCAGTGTGTTTTTGATATATGCTTATAATGTAATAGCAATGAATGTATGATTTATCTTTACAGTATAAATGCATCTAGGATTTTCACTTTCAGTATATCTTGTGATTTGTATTTGTAATGGAATACAAGTTTTTATTACTATCCATATAACATGAGTGTGTGTGAAGTACAGCACTGTATATCCTTAGTATAGATGTGCCTTGTGCTTAACCTTACTGTTAAGATACTTATACAGTGGACCCCCAGTTAACGATATTTTTTCACTCCATAAGTATGTTCAGGTGCCAGTACTGACCGAATTTATTCCCATAAGGAATATTGTGAAGTAGATTAGTCCATTTCAGACCCCCAAACATACACGTACAAACGCACTTACATAAATACACTTACATAATTGGTCGCATTCGGAGGTAATCGTTATGCGGGGGTCCACTGTATTTCACATCTCATTTGTGTGGAAATATCTTTTAAGATTACTGTTATGGTTCACAAATGCCAGTGAATCACTGTACAAGTGCAGTATTCTTATTATTAAAATAGGGAATGTGTCCAGAATGTTTATTACAAATTTAAATTAACTTTTTCCAACCTGGTCAGGACTAGAAGAAACAATATACACCGTTATGCACCTCATCTAGCTGCCTCTCCAAGGCACTAACATTGTGGTCTAGTGTTAACACATGGAACCGCAATCCTTCCTCACTGTGCTTTGAGAGTATGTGTACTCTAAATCCCAACTTTGAGAACTTAAATCAGGCTATCCAGTTAACTGACATGAACTTTTGATAGATACATTGTTTAGTGCCTGTACAAGTTAGCATACCATTTTTCGTTACTTTGTGAAACCTTTCAACGAGTGCTTGGGAAAGCGCTTGAAATTTTGGCATGAAGTTAAGCCATACAGTATTTAATTTGTTTCAAAGTGAATGGATTAGGTGTATTTTTTTTAGTTAATAGGAATGCAATATTGTGTTTGTATTATGTACAGTACAGTATAGAAAGTGTGGGTCAGAGGGAAGATTTCAGTGTGTTGAATAAGTCCAGCCAAGGTACTGTGGGACACAGCTAGTGTGATCAGTACCTGAAGACCTTGCCAGCTTGCTGTGTTTTGCCAAGGCCATAGTAGCACTTGCAGAATTATTATAATTATTTCCTTTCAGAAAATTAATACAGTATAATTACAGGTGCATAAAATACTTTAATGATGAATAGTAGAGGCCTTTTAATTAACCTTTCATTGTATACAGTAGTTAATTTTCATTGTGACAAATAGTCACTATTCAGCCTAAGGATAATTATGGAGTGAATAGCCTGTGTTTATAATTGAATGTTGTATTGGAAATTTATGAATTATAGTGTTTAATAATCCTAAACACTAATTTATTTACTAACATGGCTATTTCAGGATGGAAAATGCCGGGAACATTGGTTCCCGACGGCGTGAAGGCAAGAAATATGCTGTAGAAGATGAAGCTTTAGATAGAATTGCTAAAGAGGTAAGTGTTACCACCTTTTTCCTCAACCATTTTCCCTCCAAGGTAAAGTGACCCAAAGATGGAAACACATTTATAATGTTTTTAGTGCTGTCAGCTATCAAGATTTTATTCGTTACAGATGCTCCTTGACTTACAGTTAGGTTATGTTCAGACAAACTCATCATAAGTTGAAAATATCTTAAGTCAACTATGAGTATATGCTAAATATATATAGGTAATTAAATAAGTACTATCACTTAATAAATAAATAAACAAATGATTACTGACTCACGAAATCATAATGACACGATTGCAATCGTGTCATTACGATTTCGTGAGTCATGTTGACGGCAGTGAGGGGACTTGAGCTAGAGTTCGTCACGGCCACGCTAGCTGGAGATTCATCTGTAAAAACTTGCATTTGTGGTCACAGTGGTGCCTGTGCTAACCTTCCTATGGTGTAGAAATATACCTAGTTGGATGAATCTTATTGTGGCTAGCTGGTCTAGTGGCTAACGCGACGGTCTGGAGTTTTGAGACTCCCTGACCGTGGGTTCAATCCCGGCCGGGGTATGGTTTGAAATGATTACTGTAAATAACTAAATACCAGTACTGTACTGAAAAGCAAATAATTGAATACAAGTTACAGACTTTACTCCTTTGTACTGGGTAATTATCTCGAAGTTTCATCTCCAAAGTACAGTGGAACCTTGGTTTTCATATACCCCAGTCTGTATGTAAAACTACAGTTATTCTCTATCAAATGTATTTTTCATTAATATTTTCCATAAGAAATAATGTAAAACCAATTAATCCATTCCAGACACCCAAAAATATTAACAAAAAATTCATTTTATAGATAATAACTATAGTTTTACATACAGACTAGGGCATACAAAAACCGAGGTTCCACTGTAATTGCTTTAGCACAATTGTAAAGTCGAAATATCATGAGTTGAACCATTGTCATTCGAGGAGCACCTATATTTGTGTGTTTATTAGATTAAATTATTATTTTGTATTTATGCTGTGATTGATTCTACAAATTTGTTATAGGAATTACCTGTTAGAGCAATTTTATGAGAAAAATTAAAAATGGTTAAAAAGGCACAATACCATTCTTCTTTATCTGAATAAAGTTAAATCAAACCTGGCTGCTTCATGTAGGTGAAGGTGACTAATTTTGTAAATTTTGACTGAGTTTTGAAGTAATAGAGCTTCAACTGACACATTGGTGAACATTCTGTAAGAGGACGTCGCTCAGAGGCGCTGTAAATGTCGTATATTTATGATACTATTGAGATCTTCATTAATCTATGTAGCACTTCTTTTCCAAAGTTACGTAAGACATATGACATATTACACATAGACATAATACAGTGGACCCCCGGTATTCGATGGCATCGGTATTCGATGCATTATATCACAAACAATTTTCCTCGGTATTCGATTGAAAACCCGGTATTCGATACGATTCGTACGAGACTTGTCCACATGTGGCCTGAACTGCCCCTTGTGTGGCAGTGTTTACAAGCCAGCCAGTGTGCGCGCATCTAAGGATACATTCGGTACATTCCATATTATCCATATTATCACTGTGTTTGGTGCTTGTTTCTGTAAAATAAGTCACCATGGGCCCCAAGAAAGCTTCTAGGGCCATCCCTGTGGTAAAAAGGGTGAGAATTAGTATGGAAATTAAGAAAGATTTTGAAGGGTTTGGGGCTAACCCTGAGAAGCCTATACCAGTTGTGGAATACATTGTGCCTACTTCAAAAATTAAGGAAATGTGTGCACAGTGGGTTGAAGTGCAAACCTTTATGGATGAAAATCACCCTAACACAGCTATTACAATGACAATGTTGTGGCCCATTTTAGACAAATCGTAAAGGAACGGGAGGTACAGAGCTCTATGGACAGATTTGTTGTGCGACAGAGGTCCAGTGACTCTCAAGCTGGTCCTAGTGGCATTAAAAGAAGAAGGGAAGTAACCCTGGAAAAGGACTTGCTACCTCAAGTCCTAATGGAAGGGGATTCCCCTTCTAAACACTAACACCTCTCCCCTCCTCCCATCCCATCAGTCATCACCAGATCTTCATTAAAGGTAAGTGTCAATTATTTTATTGTTATTGTAATTATTCTATTGCATTAAACTTGATATTTCATGTAGTAAATTTTTTTTTTTCATACTTTTGGGTGTCTTGCACGGATTAATTTGATTTTCATTATTTCTTATGAGGAAAATTGATTCGGTTTTTGATATTATCGGTATTCGATGAGCTCTCAGGAACGGATTAATATCGAATACTGGGGGTCCACTGTACAGATAACCAAATGAGAAAAAACTGGAATATACTGGAAAAGGCATTCTTTGCCATCTGTTGAATTTTGCTTGTGATGTCAGGTTACCAACATTATCGTTCCAGTCACGGTATTGTGCCTTTTTTTTTTTTTTGTTTTTTAACATAATTTTGTTATCCATATTGGCTACCAAGCTTCATTGACACACACACACACACACACACACACACACACACACACACACACACACACACACACACACACACACACACACACACACACACACACACACACACACACACACACACACACACACACACACACACACACACACACACACACACACACACACACACACACACAGCGAAGAGGGGGGTCCAGGAGCTATGACTTGACCCCTGCAACCACAAATAGGTGAGTAGGTAAGTACACACACACACACTGCACATGCATTAGACATTGTTTTTTTTTTCTAAGCCTTAACGATGGTTAATGCTTGTTGTGCTGTTAGATGTAGTAATCAATAAGACGTTAAGTCAAATTTAGCATTCCTCAGACTTCCCAAGGATGATGAAAGATGAAATTGAAGGATTTGTGCAATGAAGAGGAAAGTTCTTCCTCCAGCAAAAGAATTACCTTCTAGGGAGATGCCTTGATGCAGGTGAAAAGTTCTTGATCCAGGAATTTAGAGTTATTCTCTCTTTCCTTGAATCAAACCTGATTGCTTCTCAGTCCCCAGGCACTTTGTGACCCATAATGGTTCAGTATGTTTCCAAGAATCTAATAATAACAATAGCATACAGTAATACAGCCAAATATGTAGCAAACATTCAATAGTGAGTAATTGACTTTACAAATGTTTACCCTGACACTTCAAAAAATTCGTTGTATAGCACTTGAGAGTAACTACTGTATATGGTTTACATCAGTATAGTCATTTTGGTAAATATTATGTGATTATTGTTATTTATAGTTCTGTATCTTATAATGCATATAAAAGAATAAAATGTATAAATAAGCTTATTACAAAAGATAACTTTAATTTGTTACTACTTAAAGCTGATAGGATGTGAATTGTGTTGGGTTATATGTTTGTATACTTAGCTGTGATGAGATGGCATGGTGCAGTCCCAGGTACATGCCACTGACGCTACTTTGTTACCCAGCTCTTGGCCCCTGAGCTACTGCTATGCGTCAAGGTTTTGTAAACCTTAACATTCTTTCTGGTGTAGGGGGAGAGATTGTTCGCTCTAATAATATGCTCAACAATAACCCACATAGAGACAGAAACTCGGGAAATTAATTGAGTTTCCCAGCCGGGGATCAAAATATACATATCAATTAATCTTCCAAGTTTCTGTCTCCATGTGAGTTATTATTGAGCATGAACAAGTGTTTATTATATGTACTTAGTTATTCATGCAATGATATAACTCATGGGGTTGTCACATGCACTTATATATACAAGTTCATGAAGTGATGTCCAATATGATTGACAAGTGTAAAATAGTCGACTCGGGTCACTTGACTGCGTAACTTGGGCTAGACGGAGCCATGTACTGGAGGTGGAAAGGGCAGTGCCTGTACTCTGAAGGGGTGGAGGAGGATATTGCAGTCAAAGGATAATCTGAATTGTGATGTCAGCTTATTTCTGGAAAGACAGATTAAATGAATGATGGTGACTCTTTTCTTCTTTGGGTCATCCTGCTTTAGCAGGAAATGGCCATTGAGATAAAAAAAAAATGGGATGGATTACTGCATTTTGTTTGGAAAATTGTGGTACTGTACTATTTTATGTTCATGGTATTCAATCTGATTGGCCTGTGAATTTAATGTTAATTATCCCCTCAAATTATATTCTTTATTTTTTCACTTAATATTAAAAAAATATATGAATACTGTATAGCTAAAAAATTTTAATGTGTGATTTAAATGTATAAAGATACTGTACTGTACTTTAAAAGTTTGCTAATGCATGCAGGTGTTACATAACCCAATATTACACACATGTTGGCTTCAGGTGTTCTAGGATGAGTGTGCTAGCCAACAGGGTGATGCAGAATTTTTTCTTCTTCATCATTCACTAAAGTCAAAGTATAGTATATATAGCATTGTTTGTATGTACAGTATCAGTATCTTGAGTAAAGAGAGTATTGAGCCTCCCTTAAAGCTTCAATTAAAGTCACAAGAGGTGTGTCAATATTGTTTTTATCTTATCTAGAGAGTTTGTCACCTAACTTATGTGGTGTTTAGGGAAGATGTGGTGGATAGAACAGGTGGTGAGGTAGTGGTGGTGTCAGAGGTGTGGTGGGTAGCAAGTGATGAGGTAGTGGTGGGTAGAGCAAGTGGTGAGGTAGTGGTGGCATCAGAGTAAGGTGTGCTGGTGGAGACTTAGGAGCATGATGCTGTAACATCAGCCATGTGTAGTAGTAGTATTGTTTAACTAAGATGAATGACAAATGCATTTGGATATGCAGTGTACATATTTTAAACTGAAAATATATATAAAGAGACTGCTATTTTGAAGTAGCAACATGGAAAGCGGTGACAAAAATTACCAGTGAATGTACATACACAACCTAAGTATTACTGTAACAATGATAAAAATTGGTCCCAAAGTTAACTATCTGCTGAAACTCCACCATGAGATGGACAAGTTTGAGACACTCTACTTGGAGCTACACACACACATGGCCACCAGGATCTCCCACTGTCATGTCACAGGCAAGACTACAAGCACTGAACATTTTATGGGTCATGTCACAGGCAAGACGACAAGCACTGAACATTTTATGGGTTTGGATGCACCAGAGGATGGGACTTTAGAGGGCATGGAAATAAGTGAGCTTGAACGAGAGGATAGTAAACTCCAACTTGCCAGAAGTAGTTGCAAGTATGAAGATGTGGATAACACTGAGCATGAGAAGATGGAAAATGAGCATGGTGAAAGTGAATGTACTTTGAGAAAGGGAAGAGGAAACATGAGACATTTGTTCATAAAATACCCTAATGCCTTCCATGGAGTAACTGAAAATAAGCCACAAGAACAGATGTGGGTGTCTCTCACCAATTTTTCCCGCATATTTAATCGTATGAGATACTTCCTGGTGAGTATTAAAAACATGTCTTTTAAGTCATGTCATTCTTTCCATGTCTGGACCAGCAGTAATGGTATTATTATTATTATTATTATTATTATTATTATTATCATCATGGGTTCCTCTTTAATTGTAGAGTGGATCCGTGACATACGATGTCCCCAACCTATGTTAAAACCAACCTACGATGCTTTTCAGTGTAGAAATTTGACCCCGACATACGATGAAAAACTCTACCTACTGCATTCGTCCGGTACGCGTCCACATGTCTGTCCGCCTGAGCGCACCTCAGATGGCCTGCCTTCAGTTAGTGTACCAATGTTTACAAGCCAGAGTGGTCGCTCCCATGCATACATTCGGAATATTTTGTATTATTCCAGTGTTTTTAGTGCTTCTAACTGCTAAATAAGCCACCATGAGCCCAAAGAAACCTTGTAGTACCAACCCTGTGGTAAAAAGGGTGAGAAATATTATTGAAATACAGTATTATCATACCACGGTCAGCTGCTGCTGCTTCTGTAGCACTGTCAGCTGCTGCTGTAGCACTGTCAGTTGCTGCTGTTGCTGTAGCACCGTCAGCTGCTTCTGTAGCACCGTCAGCTGCTGCTGTAGCACCATCAGCTGCTGCTGTAGCACCGTCAGCTGCTGCTGCTGCTGTAGCACTGTCAGCTGCAATTAACCCCAGAGGGTTAGCCACCCAGGATTACCCAAAAAAGTCGGTGTGTCATCGAGGACTGTCTAACTCATTTCCATTGGGGTTCTTAATCTTGTCTCCCAGGATGCGACCCATACCAGTCAACTAACACCCAGGTGAACAGGAAAAAATGCCTGGAACTAGTGCTCATATTGGTGAATTTAAGGCCAGCAAAGGTTGGTTTGAGAGATTTAACAATCGTAGTGGCATACACAGTGTGATAAGGCCTGTTCTGGAAGAAAATGCCAAACAGGACCTACATTACTCAGGAGGAAAAGGCACTCCCAGGACACAGTGTCTCATCAGTCATTGCTGCATCTTCAATAAAGGTAAGTGTCATTTATTCTTCATTTAGTAGAGTAGTACATGCACAATATATATTGTGCATGTACTACTTTACTATTGTGCATGTATCCTTCTTTTTGTGTGTAGGAAAATGTATATTTCATGTGGCAAAAAAATTTTTTTCATGCTTTTGGGTGTCTTGCACGGATTGATTTGATTTCCATTATTTCTTATGGGGAAAATTAATTCAGCCTACGATCATTTCATCTTACGATGGGCTCTCAGGAATGGATTAATATCGTAGGTCGGGGGACCACTGTAATTTAGTATATTCAGCCTGAATTTTTTTCTGTGGACTTTTATGAGGTTTAGTTTGCAACTGAAGGAATGATGTGTAGGTCAAGTAGCTTTACTGCAATACTTATCAGAGTTAAGCCTCCGTTTTTTTAAGGTGGGTATCATGATGTTGGTTAAAGGCTCTTGATCTAAGGAATCAAAGCTCTTCACTTTATTGGGTGGGCTCAAGTGTGATTACGTACTTTTATTTACCAGGCAATATATGACCTTGATGCAATAACTCTCATTATATTAACATCAGCTTGTTATTATTTTAACATCAGATTTACGGTACATATTATTTTAACACCAGATTTTATTTTGATGTCAGATTTTCATTAATAGGATAATAGATTTTTATTATAAAGCATTTATTAGTACAGTTTAATACTTTATTTTTTCAGTAAGTTTTTATATTGTATTTAAATGTGCATACTGTACATACGTTGAGGCATGGAATGTGTGCGTGTTGACTGGTTGAGGGGCTGCTGAGGTGGTTTGGATATTTAAAGAGGATGGAACAAGCTAAGATGACTGGGAGGTACATAAATCTTGGGCGAAAGGAAGGAAGGGTTGGGGCTGTCCCAGGAAATGTTGGAAGGAGAGGCTAAAGGAAGTTGTATGTGCTAGAAACCTGAACATCCAACAAGTTTGTGTGATCATGTTAAATCAGAATGACTGGAGGCAAATGATTTTTATGGCTTTATGTCCTACTGACGTGTTAACAAGGTAACATTTTTGAGGGGATTTAGGGAAACTGGTTAACCAGATGTGAACCCTGGAGGTGGGAAGCACAGTACCTGCCTTTTAAGGGAGACGTGAAGATGTTGCAGTTTGAATCACCATCTCAACAGTAATGTCAGCATAATTTTGGCAAGATAGCAATTAACCAGTAAACGGTCCAAGCAGATCTATGTTCACATGTGTAGTGCTACAAAAGTAGATCTACGTTTTTTTACATACAGTGGACCCCCGCATACCGTCGGCATCACATAACGTTTAATCTGCATACCGCTCGCTTTTATCGCAAAAATTTTGCCTCGCATACCGCTCAAAAACCCGCTCACCGCTCTTCGTCCGAGATGCGTCCAATGTGCGCCCATAGCCAGCCTCACATGTGCCGCCGGTGGCATTGTTTACCAGCCAGCCTCCGCGGTAACATCCAAGCATACAATCGGAACATTTCGTATTATTACAGTGTTTTTGGTGATTTTATCTGCAAAATAAGTGACCATGGGCCCCAAGAAAGCTTCTAGTGCCAACCCTACAGCAATAAGGGTGAGAATTACTATAGAGATGAAGAAAAAGATCATTGATAAGTATGAAAGTGGAGTGCGTGTCTCCGAGCTGGCCAGGTTGTATAATAAACCCCAATCAACCATCGCTACTATTGGTGGTACAGCTGCTGCTGCTGCTGTACCACTGTCAGCTGCTGCTGCTGCTGTTGCACTGTCAGCTGCTGCTGCTGCTGTAGCACCGTCAGCTGCTGCTGCTGTTGTACCACCGTCAGCTGCTGCTGCTGTAGTACCGTCTGCTGCTGCTGTAGCATCGTCTGCTGCTGCTGTAGCACTGTCAGCTGCTGCTGCTGCTGTACCACCATCAGCTGCTGCTGTAGTACCGTCTGCTGCTGCTGTAGCATCGTCTGCTGCTGCTGTAGCACTGTCAGCTGCTGCTGCTGCTGTAGCACTGTCAGCTGCTGCTGCTGCTGTAGCACTGTCAGCTGCTGCTGCTGCTGCTGTAGCACCGTTGTTGGTGTGGCTTATTGAGAATACCAAGAAACAATTAACCCCAGAGGATTTGCCACCCAGGATAACCCAAAAAAGTCAGTGTCATCGAAGACTGTCTAACTTATTCCATTGGGGTCCTTAATCTTGTCTCCCAGGATGCAACCCACACCAGTCGACTAACACCCAGGTGAACAGGGAAAAATGCCTGGAACTAGTGCTCATATTGGTGAATTTAAAGCCAGCAAAGGTTGGTTTGAGAGATTTAAGAATCGTAGTGGCATACACAGTGTGATAAGGCCTGTTCTGGAAGAAAATGCCAAACAGGACCTACAGTACTCAGGAGGAAAAGGCACTCCCAGGACACAGTGTCTCATCAGTCATTGCTGCATCTTCAATAAAGGTAAGTGTCATTTATTCTTCATTTAGTAGAGTAGTACATGCATAATATATATTGTGCATGTACTACTCTACTATTGTGCATGTATCCTTCTCTTTGTGTGTAGGAAAATGTATATTTCATGTGGTAAAATTTTTTTTTTCATACTTTTGGGTGTCTTGCACGGATTAATTTGATTTCCATTATTTCTTATGGGGAAAATTCATTCACATACCGATCATTTCGCATAACAATGAGCCCTCTTGCACGGATTAAAGTCGCTATGCGGGGGTCAACTGTATTTTCAAATATAACAAAAAAAAAGTAGATCAAAGTTTTTTTATACATTTTCAAATGTAAAAAAACAAAAAGATTTACTTTTTTTACATTCAAATGTTGAAAAAACGTATATATACGTTTGGACCGTTTACGGGTTAAATGAATGATGTTAATGTATTTCCTCTTTTTCTTGGGTCACCCTACGTCTGCGGGAGGCAGCCAGTGTTTTAAAAAATTGTTTTGAAAATTTAATGAGATTTATCAATATTAAACTTGTAATATTCAGGTAAGATATAACCTGTATTTGGACAAAGCATTTCCAACATAATGTGTTTTATTGTTTGATACCTCAGGTGTGTATAGCATTGAACTGTCACATTGTGGTTGAGTGCAGAGGAGGTTGTGGGGGCAGAAATGAAATTAGATTTGGTGTCTGGCTGATGCACTGAACTGCCTTAGTCAAGTTATATATTGTGATCCTGTTAGTTGGTGTGACACACACTGTCATTTCTCATGTTGTTTACTCTGTATCTACATGGAATTTATTAGAGATATCCTCTCCATCTGCTTCATCACTGGCTCTCATGAGACTCACTAGTGATATTGGAGGTGTAAATGCCAAGTGCTGAAGGGATGATTAAAAATGATGTTAAAGAAAATAGCTGTCTTAGTACAGCTATGAGCACGTCACTAAATTGTCGACTTCAGATGAGGACGGAGAATAGACTAATTTTATTTATAATTTGTACAATTTACAAGACTGAGGAAGCTATATGAACATGTGTTGTCTGCTTTCATTGCCAGTGCTTCATTTAAGATAAAGTGTACGAGGTCTCTGCAGCTCAGTAAGATTATATATATACAGTGGACCCCCGGTTTACGATCAGCTCCCAATGCGACCAATTATGTAAGTGTATTTATGGAAGTGCGTTTGTATGTGTATGTTTGGGGGTCTGAAATGGACTAATCTACTTCACAATATTCCTTATGGGAACAAATTCGGTCAGTACTGGCACCTGAACATACTTCTGGAATGAAATAATATCGCAAACCGGGGGTCCACTGTATATATATATATATATATATGTCGTGTTGAATATGTAAAACTGGTCAGTTAGCAAGAACTCATTTAAAATGAAGTAATTTCTGAAATTTTCTCTTATACGTTTAAAGATATATATTTTTCATTAATGTTAATGTAAAAATTTTTATTTTTGCACCAGAAGAATCTTAGAAAACTTACCTAACCTTATTATAACAAGAGCAATTTATTTTAGCCTAACCCAACTAAATATATTTTAAATACGTTTACAGTAATTTAGTACTAAATAAACACAATCAAATATATTTTTTTCGTTAGGTTCAGAATGATTTTGGCGAAATTATTGCATACACAAATTTTCACTTGTCCTATATGGCAAAATGAGTGTTGCTATTTAAGCCAAGAATGCAAGTTCTGCCTATTCGGCACGACATATATATATATATATATATGAGAAAGAGAGAGAGTGTGTGTGAGTGTGTGTGTGTACTCACCTAATTGTGGTTGCAGGGGTCGAGACTCAGCTCCTGGCCCCGCCTTTTCACTGATCGCTACTGGGTCCTCTCTCTGCTTCCTGAGCTTTGTCATACCTCTTCTTAAAACTAAGTATGGTTCCTGCCTCCACTACTTCACTTGCTAGGCTATTCCACTTGCTGACAACTCTATGACTGAAGAAATACTTCCTAATGTCCCTGTGACTCGTCTGAGTCTTCAGCTTCCAGTTGTGACCCCTTGTCCCTGTGTCCCCTCTCTGGAACATCCTATCTCTGTCCACCTTGTCTATTCCCCGCAGTATCTTGTATGTCATTATCATGTCTCCCCTGACCCTTCTGTCCTCCAGTGTCGTCAGTCCGATTTTCCATAACCTTTCCTCGTACGACATTCCCTTGAGCTCTGGGACTAGCCTTGTTGCAAACCTTTGTACTTTCT